ACCGCTCCCGCAGCCTCCCGGCACCGCCCCCGACACCGCTCCCACTCTCCCTTCCCCCTCCATGGACAGCGCTGCTCCCAACAGAGCCCGTGCGGGGCCCCCGCGGGGCCGCTCTGCGCTGAACCCCCACCGCACCAGCGGTCACTGCACAACCCTCAGCCTGGCACATGGATCCAAATTCTGCTCCGTAGCACTCAGGGTGGTGTGCTACGTGGTGTGGCCGGAGAAACAGCCTACTGCTCCATGCCAAGTCTCTTGTGGAAAAAACCTTCCTAAATACAAGCCCGTGGATCCTAACATCTCCCAACACCTCCAAAGAGCTTCTGCAGTCTTCTCCCCACACAGTAACACACCCTTCAAATACTGTCAATTTTTAATTCAACATCATTTATTCATTCATACACCACAGGAGACTTTTCCTCGTGCTTTTATTAAGCTGTGTTTCGTTTTCACATTCATCTCGCACACTGGATTTAATCTGCCATTGACAAATGCTCAGCCAGCTGCCCCAAGCACTATCGCTGCCTGTGTCTGCCAGCTCACTGGGAGCCTCTCGGCTGGAGTCCGAGCAGAGCCCCAGCAAGAGGGTGGGCTCCAGATCCTCATCAGCGGACAGATGCTTTTAGGGAAAGTCAATGGGACTATGAGCGCCAGCCACCATTCCCAGCTGTCTGATCAGAGTCCCATCACGGCAGCATCCTGCACAGAGATAAGTGTGCTGCCTGCAATTACAGAGATGTGCCACAGGGATAAATTCGATCCCGGGAGAGGAAGGAATCCATCTCTTCTTCAAACTGCCCGCAAGCCAGGAAGAGTGAGGGGAACTCATCACTCAAACATGAAAGGAAACACATGCACAGTGCAAACATACCCTGCAGTTCACCCCCAGGATAAGGCCAGGAGGAAGAGGTAGGTCTTGCACGACTTTTTGCTGTTGTCCTTACAAAAATGAAGAGTTAATTAGCACAATGATTACAGTGGTGGTTGGACAGCTATTGAGGAAACAGCAAAATGGGGTGAGCAGATGTTATTCCTGACTGTGCTGGATCCATTTATCAACCCCAATGTGACACCTGCCTCAGGAGGTCAGAGGCAGAAAGTAGAAATCATGTATGGATTGACAGAGTCAACAGATCCACTACAGACAGATAACAGACAATTGAGGGCATGGCTGGCAAATGAACAAAGAATTAATTGAATTCCAGCCCTGGCTGCATTGGACTGACTGCACTGAAGACCCAACCCGTTCACTGCCGGAACAGTTACTGAAATAACTGTGCCTGAAATAACAGACACCAAGGTCCAGGAGGAGCCTCGGGAGCAGCGATGCCCCCCCCAGTGCTGGATCCTGATGCAGGCCTCTCCCCAGGGAAGTCAGCTGGCAGGCACAGCTCCACACCAAGGCACAGGAAGGGCAGCTCTCCATCCAAAATTCCAGATAATGCTGCAATGCTGCTAAGTACAGAGCTATTCCAGGCCTTTATATCAGCACAGATCTTTTAGACTCCTATTTACACAGGCCCCCAAAAGAGTGATCTCACAATCAGAAAGAGTGGCAGCCCTTGGCATGAGGGTCTGCCTCTGCTCATTTGACTCCTGAGGTTCCCCAAGGCAGTCAATAAAGTACTGGTGCCACCCTGTAGTCAGCTCATTTGGCATCTGCTGCTGCTTTGTCTTGTCTCAGAGCACTTTCAGTAGGCACCAAGGGCTGTCAACAAACCCTTCTCCTGCCCCTCTCCAACTGCCAGGTCATCTCTCCCAGTAGTCTGTTAGCCCCCAGGATGCAACACAGCCTTTCCCAATACAGACAATACATTTTTTTCAGAGGTCAACAAAAACAACTCAAAGCATCTGTCCTTTAATATCTGGGTGGTGTTGAAAGACT